ACAGCAACTGACAGAACATTCACAGTCTTAACAGGACACAGTCTTAAGCTGCACCAAGGGAAGTTTAGGTTGGATATTGGGAAAAAAGTGTTTTACTGATAGAGTGATAAAGTACTGGGATCATCTGCATGGGGAAGTGGTGGAGTCACCATCCCTGGATGTGTTTAAAAAAAGACTGGATGTGGCAGTTGATGCTATGGTTTTGTTAAGGCGGTGTTAGGGCATGGGTTGGACTCAATGATCTTAAAGGTCTCTTCCAACCTAGTGATTCTGTAATTCCCCAGTTTGGTGTTCCCACTGAAACATGTCAAACCGTGCACCATTCTCTCACTCCTCCTCCTCCCCCTGCCCTTGCCCCTGCTGGGGCTTCGGAAGGCACAAAGGGTAAAGATCATGGGTTGAGATAAGAACAGTTTGCTGGAAACAGCAGCCAGATAAGGAAATCAACAGCAACAACAAACTGATGACAAGGGGCACAAAATAGGAACAATTCACATGGAAAACCCCTGACAAGACAGCACTACCTTGATCCAGAAGGGACCCTGCTCCCCAGAAGAGAATCCCTTCCCCACAAGCCTTGGCAATGACCTGACATGACAGAGAACAACCCCTGGACCCTAGCCAGGCCCCTGGCTGGCTTCTGCAAGTAATTAACCCTGTCCTAGTCAGAAACAGGAGAGAAAGAGACCAGAAACTCAGCTAGCATTAAAACTTTGCATCTGGAATCATAACCCAGATTCCAAATTCAGTCATTACTCTCACACAGGCTTCAACAGGCTTCAGTCTCTTCTACAGGATTAACTTCAGTGTAATTTATAGTGACAGCTGACAGTCCAGGTCTCCTTTAGACATTTCAGAAGTTAATATACCCTAGGAAATGGAGATAAATTCTTCACTTTTCCTCTTGTAAGAAACCAAACATCCTTCAACAACCCAGATGCAACTGCCTCAGGCCTCAGCTGTACTACTTGTCCATTTAGGGGCAGGTTAGGTGTAAACATCTGCAAGACTCTGGAGATGTGCATTCTAAAAGAGAGAGTATTCAGTGGAGATGAGTGAGAACTAACTGGTGACAAAGAAGCAGATTTTTAAAACCAACCAACTAACAAACCAACCAAAACCAAACCCCAAAACAACTGGAAGGAAATGCAAGAGGTGAGCTGCTTTAGTAAGGTATTTCTTGATACCCAGAAGCCACGAAATTAGGTCTGCACCCCACTTTTTCCAATCCAGGCAAATTAGGTTTGTTTTATTCAATGCTCTGCCAAAGCAAACTCGAGAAGGAAGTCTCCTACACTCTGGGACACAGGGCTCAAGCTGGAGTGGCAATAGCAAGCTGAGATGATGCTTAACACAGGAGCACTTGTTTCACACACATGTCAGGCTGCACCCCAGGGTGCTGAGGGAGGAGGCTGATGCCCTTGTACTGCCAGATTCCAAGGCTGTGAAGATCAGGGTGTCCCCAATAACTGGAGAAAGGCAAATGTCATGCATGCCTTCAAAAACAGGCAGAAGCCACCCTATGGAACTGCAGGCCAGCCATCTGGCCATAAATCTGAAGTAAAATCAAGGAGTGAGGCCTCCTGGAGCCCACATCTGGCCACAGGAAGGAGGAGACAGTGACAGGAAGCAGTAAGCAAGGCTTAACCGAGGGTCAGTCATGCCTCACCCACCTCACCACTTTCTGCAACATAATCGTGGCGATGAGAGAGAGCACCTACCTTTGCTGTAGCCAGGCTTCTGTATGTGGGCTGTGACATTACAGTGTGGGAGGGATGCCAGGCTGGCGGGTGAGGACCTGGCTGGGTGTGGGCCAGTATCAGGAAGGGTTCCTCGGCGTCTGTACAGGGCCTCTCCTGTTCAGCCTGTCCACTTGCCGCCTGGAAAAGGGGATGGAGGGAATGTGCAGCCCTAGGGGCATGGCAGCTCTGGGACATGGTCCTGGGTGTTAGTGGGCTGAGCCAGGGTCATCCAGGTGCCTGGGCAGCAATGAGGGCCACAGGTGTTTGGGGTGGTGTGAGCACCCACATAGGTGCTCACAGGTGCTTGGGGTGTGTCCCCTCTGCTCTGTGCTTGTCACCGAGGCCCTGTCAGCTTGGTGCCTCCAGCTTCAGTCCACAGCACAGGAGAGACACCAGCAAACTGGAGAGGCATCAGGGGCAGACTGACCACGCTGGGCACAGGTGGTGAGGCTGGAGCCCTTGATGGTTTTCTGCTGGAATGAGACATGGCTTCAGGGGCTCCAACAACACACGCAGCACTGATGGGACAGGATGCAGAAAGATGTTGATAGGCTCCTCAGTGAGGCATGGCAGAGGGGTGAGAGGCAGCAGCACAGCTAAACCATGGAGTCTGAGGCTGGAAATAAGAAGCAGCCTTTCTTCCAGAAGGACAACCCAGAAGTGGAGTCAGGACCTGGGGAGGGTGGGTCATCTCCATCCTTGGGGGTTTCACACAACTGAGTGAAGCATCCTCATCTGACCCCCCTGGCAGAGCACACTGGAGACCATGTCTCTGACACCCTGAGTTACTCTGTGATCCTATGGATATGTGGAAAGCATCTGTGCAATGACTTTGCCTTTCTTGCCTCAAAATCTCACCAATCTACTGGAGAAGGTGGGGACATCATCAGTAACATAAAAGCAGGCTACTAGAAAAGTCACCCTTTGAGCAACAGTGGAAAACCCAAAGGGTTGGCACTGAAGTAAAAGTAACTGCAGGAGTCAGACTGCAATACCCAGGCAGCAGTTTAGAAGCTGTGTCTAAAACTTTCACCTTAAAGGTGAGATATATAGACAAGTTGCAAGAACATCTCAGATGTGTAAGGATGCAGGAAATTGACACCTCACTTCTGAATACTCATAGAGAGAGTATTCTCATATAAGAATACTCATATAGAGAGTCCATTCTAACTGCTGTCTGGGATGTTTTTGTAAGTACTGCACAGAAGAGTAAATAGAGACCAATTTCAGCTCACCAGCGAAGCATGGACAAAGGTGCTGGTAAGCAAATTTGATTAGCAACTTCTAAATGGAGTAATTCTACTTAGAATCAAAAAATTAGTTGCATAACCCAATTCACAAACTCTTTCCATTCACAAACTGCTTGCAAATCTTGGAAGTTCTCTACAAAATAAATCATTAGGGGATTTTATTTGCCTACAATATTAGGTCAAATTATTGTAGGCATCAAGTATATCCACATGATTTTTTTGACTGTTGTGGAAAACTACAGAATCCAGGAGGCCCAAAACCTGTTTCATTGCTGATCTAATAAATACAATATAACTAGTCATAACAATTATATGGAAATTATTTCTCCCTATTAGAAATAGAAAAATTCTCCTAGAACAAAGCTCTCTGTACATTTTGAGATACTCAAGAAGAAAAGAACTGTTGATATTTGGGAAATGTACTTGCTAGATAAGGGCTGACTGAAATGCACATTAGACACCTACACACAATCTGCAAACATAGACCAACAAACTCGATTTATATTAAACTAAACAGCATGGTAATGCTCAGCAAAAACTGAAAGAAACAACTACAAGATAAAAGACACACAAAGTTACAGGATGTCTTGACAGAGAAAGGCGAAAGAAAAAAATCCATCCAATGGAGTGCACATTTCCTGTTCCTCTTCCTCCCTCTCCAAGAGTTGTATTCGCATTTATGCAGCTAAACTATGTTTGACTAGGAGGCTGATTTAGTGAAAGCTCATCTTTTGGTTTTCCACTTCTGTACGTTAATTTTTGTCCTACTGATCTTCCCAGGCTGATTAACAACATTGTCTGAGGGGGGAGAGGGGGAGAACAACAGAACTGCTGTAGTCTTGACTGAGATGAAATTAAACAACTGTATTTTGAAGAACAATGTAACTTTGGTTGCAATTCACAGCACAGAGTATCTGGAGGTTAGCAGGAAGCATTAAAACACCCCCTACATTTCTTCTCTCAGAAAGACCAGAAAAAATCTTTGAATATCTATTCTTCTGCTCTAAAGCAAGATATACATGAGACCATCCTCTTAGAAGGAGCTCACACTTTCTGAACAGAAACACAAATCAGTTGCCTTACAATGCCAGCACCACTCTGCATATCAGCCCTTTACAGTGATCTGATTTCAGGAGTAATTTATTTACTCTTTGTAAAACATGACTCCTGTAAATCTCAGAAGCGAAATGAAATGTGAAGCGTAATGAAAAGGCAGATAATCGTGTTAACACAGATTGTCAGACTACTTGACACCAGCTTGCTGGTCACCAGTTGTTGCCTCAGCTATCCGATGCCTTTAACACAAAACAAGTGCCAGTTGAAATTTTTGTTCCAATAACTGATAATGTATTATCATAAATACACAGTACCAAAATGTGTTTGGTAATAACATTTGAATGACAAATATTGGATTGAAAACAACTATTTAATACAGGTCACAAGATACAATTTCCCTGAAAATAACACAATTTAAAAGCACCAAAGTAATGAATATTTTGTTGTTTGCCTTCCCAAAAGCAAATCCTTAATCCTCACTCCAGAGAACTCCTCACTCAATCCTCACTGCAGAGAAGATGAAACATTTTCAAAAATCCTATTATTGGGATATTTCTTCTACCCTTTTTCTTCTCCCTTAATTTTCTTTATTCTTTCCATAAGTCTCACTTCTCTATTGCTATAGACTCCCTGTCCTTCATATAATCTGGGATACAGCTGGAATTGACTCTCATTTAAAGACACACTTCTGCCTTCCATTCCTCAGGAGGACATTAAAACAAAATCATGCACACAAGGTATGTGGGTCGAATTTTCTATTGCAAATAAATCCAAGGTTATCATACCATTTATTCTACTTATATTTATGCCAAGCATTCTCCAGCACATCCCTAGAAATGCTGCTCTGACCATAAAACAAGAAGGGTATTTCTCTTGTCATTGCTTCCATGACTAGGATTGCCTATTATTAGGTCACTATAAAAATAGTACATATATATTTATGCACTCTTACCTGATTAAATTCTGGCACACCTGGCATCCTGTAGGACATCTGTGATGAAAAGTGGATGATTAATAAATGCTAGTGTAGAATAAGACAGCTTTAAAATTATTCTTAGTATATCAATTCAACAGTGAAAGAATTCTCATCAGCAACAAAACAGGCTGTCATCTCCACCACTAACCCCTGGAAAATGCAGTGGATAACTTCAGTGATTTCTTTGGCATTGCACAACTCAGACTGTATGTCAGATCTTCATTTCATAGATGAGTTATCTATCTTACATCTGCTACACTGTCCATATGTTCAAAACCAAATGATCAAAATTACAAGTTTACATTCTCAAGCGTGATCTCCAATTTATCTAGGCCACACCATTCACCTGATGGATAATATGGAATGCCAAGTTATGTTTGCTTCCTAAAGCATAGGTTGAGGATTTGATATCTTCCTTACTCTTTTCATACTCTACACCAGTATGATCAGTAATTTCTGTATCAGAACACTGTGATCAGCAGCAGTAATTATTTTAAGGAAGGGGAAAATGGTGCAGCAGTAACTCCACGTAACTCAGTCTCTTAATTGGATACAGTACTTGTTTTTATTATCACACTGACAGCAACAAATCTAAGAAGCACAGTAAGGTCAATTGCTACCAATTTCTAATTCAAATAAACAGTTTCATATAAAACAGACTGGGGATGGGATCCATGAAAACCCACAGACCAGCAATCATTGGCTGAGACACTAAAAAACACTGTCCAAACCAAACACAATGCCCATAAAAATTACTTTGATTATTTTTAAATGTAACAGAAAAAAAGAGAATTTGCTTGCTTTACCTGTGTGGTTCTTTTGAGCTGGGAATAATGTGGGAACATTCTCTTTTACTGAAGACTTCTTCGATCCAAGATTTGGGGGGCTAAAAAGACATTTCAAATATAAATGCATTCCTGAACTTGGGAACATGATGCCAAAAATTGCACTGTAATGACAATACATCTGTATATAGATAACTCAGAACTATTCCCATTATCTTGTGTGTAAGGCTACATGCTGAAGCTACAGCTCTGAACAGTCCTAACCCTTCAACTCCAAGCTTTACAGAATTCCCCAAGAAGATCAATATTTAAATTTATTACCACCATGAGAATTATTTAGATGTTCTGTCAAACATATATACAATAGAGAAAGTGGCAAGGATTAATTAAAATTGCTGTAAGTATTGCATTCTTCTTCTGCCAGCAGACTAGTAAACTGCAATCTTGCTAAAGCTGTGTCAAAAAAGGCAAGATTCTTATTCTAACCTGAAGGAGATGGTTGAGTCCTTCTTTTATTATTCTTCACAGATTAATAGGTCTAGAGTGAAATGCAAAAGCAGGGGCCCAGCACTCAGGGTGGAAGACAGGTGGGCTTTCTGCCCTGCCTCCTGGAGAGCTGTGTCAGTGATGCCTGTCACAGCTCAGCCACTGAACAGCCACTATAGCACACAGGTTCTTCAAAGACTCTCCCTGTAAATTTTTGAACCTTTCTTTTCAGGTTTATCAGGATCAAATTCCTTGAAAGGAGCAGTAACTGCTGGATGCAGAGCTTTGAAACCTCTGGGACTTAAGTAATTATTCTTAATTTTTATAGGTGAAATCTTCACATAGTATGTACAATTTACAGCAGAACCTGAACATTTATTTCTTAATCTTTAGGCTTGTAGACTGATTATATCATTAGGAAAAGGGGTTTGAAACTTCATGCTTTTTTACATTCATCCATGACTTCAGGCCTGGGCAAATAAAAATGGAAAGAGGAGACTTCTGAACTGCAGACTTTTGTAGTCTAGCTCTTGATTCCTAGTTTTGTATAAGACTTCTGTAGCATCTCCTTTCATAAAACTCTGAATAATTTTCCAAAATGTCATAATTTAATTAAATTTCAACAGCAAATGAAAATATTCCCTGTCACTACAATGAGGTACATACATCTCAGCCATCATTGACACATATCCTTTTCACCACCAAATCCTAAAGGAGGAGACAAAAATACAACTACACACTCCTTCTGACTGGCAAATTTCTGCTCTGATATACCAAAGACCTGAAGCCAATTCTATTGTAGCTTTCCTCCTACTTTTTCCTCTAAGGAAGTCCTGAAACCTGTGTTTGGGACTTTTGGCTTCTCTTTTCTCACCAGTCTGAGGATTAAGCTTGCTGCTTATAATTCCCTACCACAGAAGAGGCTTTGGAGATTTCTAGACTGATTTAGTCAATGGAGTGGCAAGAGTTTGGCTCTGAAATTTAAGGCACATGAGTAGTTTTTAGAAAATTGCTTTTAATCACTTTTCCAATATCTTTAATGTCTGAGATCCTTGCATAATGTGGTATTAAAGGGACATTGTCAGGTCAAAATGTTCAAAAATTAAGGTCTCCAGAAGTAAAGAAAGAGATCAGTGTAATATATAAGGAAACATATGCACCACTCATTTCTTTAAAATTCTTTCTGTTGAGCAGTGAGAGCAGACAAAACCTAAAAACCCAGCCTGGCACAGAGGTCCTTCAAAGGGCAGGGGTGCTATCAGCAAGGAGAGTGAGTGTGCCACCATCGCACTGGGGTGTCTGGGCAGGTGCACAGCGCTGGGCTCACCAGCCTCCAGGGAAGGGAAACGCCGCCCTGCCATGCCCTCACTGATTTCACCACCCCCCATCCAGCAAAAACACATGAAGGCTTCCATTTTTGCTTCTGCTTCCTTCTGCCTCAGGCCATCCTCCACCACCATCCCTGCAAAGGCCACCTGAAGCCAAAGCCTGTAGCTGCACTGTGACAAATAAACACTGCCAAGCAGGGGGTTCATGTATGCTCTCCCTGCTCTGAAATTGGCTTTACTAAGCCAAGAGCACCAGGAAACATTCAGCTCCTTCAAGCCCAGACAATAAACACTGTTCAGTGTCTATTTAAACTAGGTTACACTGTCAATATGAAACAGCAATCTTTTAGTTTCCTTAGCTGTACATATGCCTGCTTTAGGGTGAAAGGCAGAGATACATATCTTTTCTAATGAAACGCCAGGCTGCTCTGGACATTGTTCAGTTCCCTGCAAAAGAAAATTAGAAGGCACACATCTCTGTGCAGAATAATGTCATCCATTATTGAAACACAATCAATTTTTGGACAAAACAGCAGCAATTGCTTTTAATGACACATTGTAGCTCCAGACAGGTGCAGATAATTAGAAATCACACAATGACTAGCCAGTTTACATAACAGGTTAGTTCATTTAGGCAAAATACCGTTGTGCTGGAAACCAGGCAGAACAATCAAGTTGTAAGTAGCTTACTGAAACTGCAACAAATTTGTACTGATAACAGAGAAACACAGTGCCTTAGCCAAAACAGTACTTCAAGAGCTGAAAAGTTATGTCTAGCACCATACGTCAGCTCTTCATACACTCTCTGTTTAGTGAAACCAGTACACAATGTCACTTCCAAAGAGCTGCGGTTTTCTAAAAGATCTTAACTACCAGTGCCAGTATTTCTACTCCTGCATTGTTGGACAGATTTGTCAAAATATCAGAAAAAAAAAAAAAAAAGAACTTTAAAAAAAATGCATCATATACAACTTTTATACAGCCTTTTCTTGCCCTCAGAATTATTAGATGAAAGCAAACACTCTTTAAGAAAGCAACAGATGATCATGGGGCTAATAGAATTGCCTCAGTACGCAAGCATACCTGCAAAGAACTTAGCTAATAATCAGAAATAAAAATATAATAATTAGAAATATCTGAAAGATCCAAACTAACTTTTAGTGTCTGTGAAGGAGGGAGGTACTATTTTCAGGTGTCTGTGAGAAGTCAGCATGGTGCAGTCTGTGACAAACCTTTATTCAAATACATCAGAGGAGGGAAAGAACTTCCCCTAATTACAGGTGGTGCAAGAATCCACTTCCCCTAACTGCAGGTGGTACAAGCAGAGTGTCCTAAAATGTCTTAAACCCTTTGCAAATTAACTTCCCATGTAGCAAGTCACTTGCAGTAACATTAGATACCTGAAACGCAGCCAGAGTTCCTGTAAGCTAGTACTCAAGACTATTTCACAAGAGCTTGGGGCTTAAGCACGCTGGTATATCTTGAACCCTTCCTTACCCCTGAAAACTCTGCATGGCTTCATTACCAACTGGTTAAATTACTGCCAGCATTAAAGAGATTTCCAACTTAACAGGCTGTCTCACACAAGCTTTTCAGAGCAGGAACTTTGTGGTTCAGCACCCACTCCATGCATGCTTATGGTACAAAGTAATGTAACAACTGATTGCTAAACAAAGAGCACCACTCTGGATCCACGTAGGGCAGAAAAACATTGCAAAACTCCAGGGTCACATGCAGTAAAATATGAACTCATGAGAGGTTTTCCACAGCCTCTCAGGTCTTCTGGAGTTTCCTGGTGTTCAGGCTACCCTGTCACAGGACAACCACCTGGCTCTGTAATACAGACAGGCTATGGTTCCTCTGATCTCCATCACTACAACACAGTGGTGCATCTAATTGGCAGCTTTTGCTTTTACAGTCTTTCTTACGTACTTCTTTGCCCCAGTGTTCAAGATTCTGCATATCTATGGAAATACACAACTATAAGCAATAGAATTCATTAGAAAATTTTCTCACTAACAGTCACTAAGATTTGAAAGATATTGTGAAAAATGTGAAAGATATTCAAATAATTTCATTTAAAAGCTTCCACTGTTCACCAGTCCACCATGGCCAATCATAAAACAGCTATCAGCTAATCTCAAACTGCCTTTGCAGGCAGACTGCTGATTCAGTAGCACTGAGAAGCTTTTATATTTTCCCCTTTTAAAGATAGTATGTAATTTCAGGTCACAGCAGAATTTCTGTGATTTTTTTCCTCATAACCAATTTAAACTCATCCACTGGAAACATATTCCTAGGTGTTCACAAATACCGTACAAACACTAACAGAAGTCACCTGTGCTTGCAGGATAAATGTGGACCCAAGTCAGAGAAGGATAACAGAACTTCTTAAAACTTGTCAGCCATTCTGAAGAGATATCTTAGGGTTTTTTGCCATCAAAACAAAAGTAGTGTGCTAGCTTTTCAAAAATACACTAATTCAATCTTCACTCCACAGAGTGCTGTAGCACTTTCTTTCACAGTTAATCAACTGTACTTAAAACCTAAGTAGGTATGCTTAAGTGATTTTCTGGATTAGGGTCTTGGATCAAAGGCTCATAAAACTGTTTCCACTATTTTGAACAGAAGTTTAGCCAAAAAAACAAAAACTCTTTGACTTTATTGGGCTTTCCAATGTGGTGCTTCTGATCCAGAGCAGACCACACAACACAACAAATACCAACACTTATGCCAAATGACAATAAAATGTAGGAAATACTAAAACTAAAACTCTCCTTGTGAAAAAAGCTCATCTTGACTCCTGGGACACAGGGAACCAAGAATTGATGGAAATCTTATCTTAGTCTGGAATATTAGACCTTCAATTAGTTTATTACTTTCTACTATTTAAGTTTATTAACCAATCAAGTAAGCCTTTCTGCTATCCCTGAACATGCAATGTCTTAGAAAAGCACACCAAGGAGTGCTGCTCCATCCAAGAGCACACCCAGCTCAGAAGGCAGCGCTGGTGGAGGAGCTCCTGCCCTGCAGAGGCAGGGGCTGGGCACTCCTGTCCCTCTGCACAGCCCATGGCACTGGGCTAGGTGGGAAAGGACACACCAAACCTCGCCTCAACACTGCTGCCAGCATCCCAGGACTTTGCAAAAGACGTAAACAGAAGGAATCTCAAACCGCAGTTTATATTCTTCAGCTTGATCCTTGAAACAGGTCTCAAAAACATTGCTAGAAATCTTGTACTGGAAGGAGATATCTGTGAATTGCTTAGAAACAGGTTTCCCCGACTCTAAATGCAAAAAGTTTCTGTGACATGAGATGCAATTCAGTGAAAGCAGGTCACTCCAAAACCCACTGTTCTAGAAGCATGGTGATTGCTGACAGTTTGGATCTGACTGCTTTATAACTGTGGCCCATAGACATAATAAAAAACCTGCCTGTGGCTGATGGCAGCCACCTTGCTAAAAGCTGATATTTGGTTTATTTTGGCACTATGTACAATATAATACTGTATATCATCTCTTATAAAACCAGTTCAATGGGCAGCATAAAATATTAATTACTGAACAAGTTAGCAATACGTAAAGATACAGAAATACAAATTCTAAATATTTTTACTGACAAAAATAGTCCAAATTGCAGAATAAATTATAGAAGATGCCTAAAACTTGCAGCAAATAAAAGCAGGCACCAGTAATAGAGGAAGAAATGGCAAATTGATCCAAACTATATTTGAAAATTATTATACATCTTTAAAAATAACCATGCCTTATTTTACTGTGTCTCTTTTGGAGACAAAATTGTCATCATTTTTTAATGCACAGTCCTACCAGTCTTACCAACAATATTTGGGAAGTCAGTCCCAAAGAAAGTCAGGCATTTGGTGGTTTTTTAGTAATTAATGCGATATAATCAGAAAATTATAAATATTCAAAGCAAGTTACGTATCCCAAAATAAATGATCTTATTGTAAGCAATTTTAAAGTGAAAATCCAAGAAGCCATAAGAAAACGATGTTTCAAATGTATTATTCAGAGGGTCAATACAATGCTTCAAGTCTCATTCAGATTTCCACTCTGAAAGCCAGTCACAGAAGGACAGTTCTTGTTACTTGTTACTTGTTAAGCGCCTGATCTTATCAAGAGCTAATCAACTTGCTCTTTTTAAAATTTGGTCTCACCTACCCAGCACTGAGTAATCACAGAGGTCAGCTACTCATTGCTGTGACAAGTGTGTGCCTTCATCAAAGGATTCAAAATCACTGAGAACAAAGGTCTACCTAGTTTAAACCAGGAGGAGGAAGAGAAAAAAATTATCTGATAGTAAATATCAGAGCTTTCTTTTGCCTGTTTTAAGTTTTCCCAACACAGGGTTTAATGTAGACTACAGAGGTGACTCTGTAAAGGTCAGATGTATCTGTAGCATCCGACATGAAAAGCAAATGCAAGTTGCAAAATTCAGCTGGAGGAAGCATGAAGGGCCCCAGGAAGTCACATGTTATTAACAACCTGCTCTAGAAGAAGGTGGCAGGTAGGTAAGAACTAGCTGATCTTCAGGGTCACTGCCAACCCAAATTATTCTGTGCTTTTATGATTCCATGATGCGAGCAATCCACACAGCTCATGTCTGGAGCCATATGACTGTTCACTGACATTTCTATCAGAATTCTTATTTTTGCTCCATTGCTTGTCTGACATAGTCACAAAATCTTCTTGGGCTTGACAGCTGCATACAGCGGCCCTTGCACACACTACAAGACAGGTCACAGAACTGAAATTGCATTTTCCAGAGAAAGAGGAAACACATCTTGGGCGCTTTCTAAAGAGGCTGAAGGTACGGTCAGCCTCACTTCTGCATTTCTCACTTGGACATGTTTTATCGCTCTCCTCAGCTCTGCCCTCCACACCACCCTCCAAAATAAAAGTTTTCCTTTTCCATATCGGCTCACAGTTAATAACAAATTGTTTTTAATGACAGATAAGTCACATCATCAATCCATCGAACACTGCAGACCAACAAACTAGCTGGAGCAAGAGTCACCCATAGCCTGAGAGCAGCCTCAGGGCACTGCAGGGCCCCTTTGCACCCCTTTGCCCCAGAGACCACCTGGACACCCCCCTAAGCTCTCCGCCAGGTCCTTCTGCACCTTCAGCCTCATGTCCGAGACATATTCCACCTCACCAGGCTTATCCCCTTGTTTATTCACTGGGGGTTGCAACAGTGGCCAAAGTGACTCCCCAAGGCTGAGGTTTCCCCGGGGCCAGGGAGAAAGGAGCAGCTGTGATTGCAGTTTAAGCCAGGTGCACAGAACGACTTGGCAGCCATCAGCACTGCCCTCCTGGCACAAAGCTGGGCTGTGCTCCAGGCTCCCAGCAGGCGGGCTGTGTTCCAAGGCATGCTTTCCTGTCTGCTCCACCATGATGGCAACTCCTCTCCCTTAAACGGCAGCTCCACGTGCCACCCACCCTTCTGGCAGCACTTTGCTCACCAGGATGCATGTGTGTGTGTCGGGATGGTCTCAGGAGCTGTGGTGGCACAAGTGATGAGAGAAGGGGCAGGGCAAGGAGGGAGCTGTAAGGAGAATGGACGGGAGGAGCTCACTGTGAGGGCTGAGGGTGCACAGCACTGCCACACAGCCTTTCTGAAACACTGGCTGAGCAGCAGGCAGAGAGGGGGATGTATTTTATAAGCACTTGGGATGTACTAGTAGAAGTTCTGCTATGCCTCTTTGGGGGTTAAATTGAAAGCCAGTCAATACAAGGTAATAAAATGCACTAGTTTATAGGATTGATAGGACTAGGACTGATCAAACCTGGGATCATCCCACCCCAGCCGGGCTGGTAAAAAATGTATTTCCACAGCCTGACCTTGACAATGCAGCCTAAAGTAGCAGGAGAGTCAGAACAGGCTGCCAACCCTTCAGAGATACAACCGAGTCCCCATCACCCATCTGCAATCTCTAGCATTACAGGAGGAGCTCACTGGGAAAAGTCTCACTAGTGTTTCCATAGTGGAAACACTAATTTTCTTACATCACAGGGCTGACACTGAAGTGCAGCCACGGTGCTTACCAAGTTCCAGACCACTGTACCTGAAACCATTGAAGGCTGGCATGCATGCATCTGCCCCAACACCATTCCTCTGCAGACACTTCCATTACTGATAACACAGAAGGTTGACCTCCACTCTCATCTCTAAGACTTAACAGCTACAAAAAACCAGAAGCAGCAATTTTATTAGCTTGTGATTTGGAAACTGAGATGACAATATGTCACATCACCAATGAATTTTAAAAATCTCTCTCGCTGACTAGCATTTATCAAAGTACATCATGACAGCACCTGGCTTCTGTCCTGGTAAAAAGAACAAGAAAGTTCAGAAACTGTTTTTAGATGCCTCATTCTGTTCCTATATGATGGACAGAGAGTACTGTACAACTTAGAAGAGGATGTAACAGCAACTGAACTATGACAGAGATGCAAAGGAGTGGCAATCCTACAGAAAGGATGAAGACGAGTGCTTTAATGCTATCTGCTTTCTTTGAGACTTAAACAGCTACGGCCCCTGACCAGGGTCTCTATTCTTTCAGCTGGAAGGTGAAAGTGTGACCACCTCATAAACTGAGGGAAAGTGTTAAAGAGGAGAACGTAAAGCAAAAGAACTGGTAATTCAAGTCACACAGAGTCAATCACAAGATTTTACCTAGAATGTATGTTACACGGTAATAAGTTTATATATTACAAACCTAGAATGTATGTTACACGGTAATAAGTTTATATATTACAAGAATCAAGGAAGGTTCACACAGCATTTGATAGAGCCTGTCTGAAAGCAACAGAGGGAAGACCAAAACTTGCAAAACTGTGCTTACCTCAGGTTGTGCTGTAAATCACCCAAGCAGTCTCAAATTCATTGCTGCAATACTCAAAAACTTGGATTACCCTGTTTGAACCTAACATCTCCATGGAGAGCACAGAAAAACCTATACATCAGCCTGCTGGAGGACACACATGCAGGGATCCACCTTTTCACTTAACACAGTGCTACTAAGTAAAAAATAAATTTAAGATAATCTGAACCACAAAAAGGAGGGATGAAGGAGCTGTTTATGTAGGAAAATAGGTATGAAGAGTAATGCAATAGTTCACATAGCTTTTTCCTCCTGGAATAGTTTCATTTAGCTTCCACAGACCAGATTACAGCCACACTGTCAGACATTGTAGATGGGATACAGTAGTCCAGCATGGTCTGTGCATTCCTATTTGTGACAGCAATCACGTTCATCCTAGTGCTGACAGTCCCACAAAGGGACTGACCTTCCCCTCACACTGCTGCAGCTTTCCCGTGACATGCTGCGCTGTACTGCAATTCCACTTTACAGACAGCCCAGTTCTGGCTTCATGGCCATTAAATCCTGTTTTCTATTATCCAGGACACCTCCCAGTGTGGTTATGCAGAGGCAAACAAGAAGTCCTGGGGAGAATGAAGGAGTGACACTCCACTGTTTCCAGGTCCATGAGGTTCTCCACAAAGCCAATCAACATGTACACAAGGTTTCACTGGCTCCAGAGGGATCTCTGCTCTTAGGCGCCAACATCAATTTTGAAAACTGAAATGGAGGCAGGTATATCATTTACCCACAGCCCAGACTGGAGTACTGTCTCTACTGCATAATCATATGTATGCCTGAACAGACATGTTTGTTCAAACTATATTTTCCTTTATGAGCAGTAGACATTTCAAACTCACCTACCTTCTGCTCTTTTCAAGCTAGTACGTGGCATTTTGCCTTTCACTAGGAGGTCACAAAGGGGCAGAAGGGGAGAGCAGTAGCAAGTAACAATTATCTGCTCCCTATTCCCGTAATAAAAAAAAACCAAAAAAAAAGTCACGGTGAAGCTCAAAGAGAAATGTCTTTTACTGGTATAGCTCTGAATGATTGTAATGTTTTCTTCCTGAATCTGGTTACTAGAAACAACCTACTTCAATACATTCATTACTAGGCGGTCCCTGCGCCCGACTGTGCCTGCCTGCTCTCTGTGAAGAGAGCTGCGGGTACACCCTGACCTCATAACCGTCATGAAATCTACATTTTTTCCTCACCAAGCCACAAAACAATTAAGGAAACTGGTTCAAACACAATAACCTATTTGCTGCTTAATGTGGTTTTATTACTACAATATAAGCCTGATATTATTTTAAATAAAGTTGTTATGGTATAAGACAAACTTACCAAAAACCTGTAAATTGATTTCACAACTTTACAGCAAGCTTCAGAGAGAAAGAAAAGAAAACTGTAATGATATTTCCTTAAACTCATTTTATTCTCACATCAGTATCTACTGATTCTTATAAGGAACACTGCAATTCCCCTGGCAGGTCCAAAAGCCATGAATCTCTAAAACTTGGCTACTGCAGTGTTTTGGTAGCAGAATTTTGTGGTTTGACTTCAGGTGTTCACAACTGAAAACACTAGCTCATACTTTTCCTTAGTTCACAAGAAAATATTGTGTATTTTGAAAAGGGTATTCATGAAGAGACATATAAAGAATATTCCACTGTATACACATTCCTTTTATCAGCAAGCATATCTGAAAAAGATTTAGAAGATACTTTGCCACAACAATGTTGCTCCAGCATGATCTGCGTGAAATATTATCCAGCTTCGTAATGTTATGTATAGTAGCAGACCTCTCTTTTTAAATCCCAAACATCTGAATCACAAACGTTCTATCTTTAAATTTAAAGAAAAAACAAACAGAAAAAAAAAACCCTCCAAAACCACAAACAAAGAAATAAAAACATTCACTCAGCATCACAGTAGAAAAAGTGACAATTTACTAAAGCTGCAGGCACTTTTCTGACATGTTGCACCTAACCTTGTGGCCATTTGGAATAGCACTACGGCAAAACTGCCTACCCCTAGCGTGGGCAGTCTTTTTTTTTTTTGCCAAAAGCCTTTCACAGCCACGAGAATACAAGCAGATCTATGTGTTTGAATGAAACCACTCAAGTCTCCGTCTGCAGAAATACCCGGAGCTAAACAGCACCGGCCCCAGAACACCAAATCCCTGGCGAAACAGCCCCCAGAAGCCATGGGGTTTCTCTTTGCCGTCAGCTAACGCTGATAGCTCCCCCCAAGCCGCCTGCACTTTCAGAGGGAGCCTGCTGCCCGTTGCGGGTTGGCCCGGACGCCCCTCACGGCGCGGCGAGCGCTCCGGCCGAGGCGGCCGAGGCCGGGCAGGACCGCTCACAGCCTCCGCTGCCCGCCGGGACACGAGGGACACGGCGGGCCACGAGGGACAGGAGGGACACGGCACCGCCCGTGCTGGGGGACAGCGGGGTCCCCGCCGGCCGCGCCGCCCTCACCTGCGGGTCGGCGCGCTCGCGGTGCGGGGCCTGCCAGCCGCGTCCCCAGCAGCGCCACACGGAGCCCGGCGGCGACAGCAGCAGCTCCCGCCACGCCGCCATGGCCCGGGCCGCGATCCTTGGCCCGCGGCGGCAGCGCGGGGCGGGCGGGGCGCCGTCCTTTACCCCTGGCTTCTGGGCGAGCCGGGCGCTACCTGCCCCCACTGCCCCAGTGCTGGTAGGTGCTATCTGCCCCCAGTCCTGGCAGGCGCTATCTGCCCCCAGTCCTGGCAGGCGCTATCTGCCCCAATCCTGGCAGGCACTATCTGCCCCAATCCTGACAGGCGCTATCTGCCCCCAATCCTGGCAGGCGCTATCTGCCCCCAGTCCTGGCAGGCGCTATCTGTCCCCAATCCTGGCAGGCGCTATCTGTCCCCAATCCTGGCAGGCGCTATCTGCCCCCAGTGCTGGCAGGCGCTATCTGCCCCCAATCTTGGCAGGCGCTATCTGTCCCCAATCCTGGCAGGCGCTATCTGCCCCCAGTCCTGGCAGGCGCTATCTGTCCCCAGTCCTGGCAGGCGCTATCTGCCCCCAATCCTGGCAGGCGCTATCTGCCCCCAGTGCTGGCAGGCGCTATCTGTCCCCAATCCTGGCAGGCGCTATCTGCCCCCAGTGCTGGCAGGCGCTATCTGTCCCCAATCCTGGCAGGCGCTATCTGCCCCCAGTGCTGGCAGGCGCTATCTGCCCCAATCCTGGCAGGCACTATCTGCCCCAATCCTGACAGGCGCTATCTGTCCCCAGTGCTGGCCGGCGCTATCTGCCCCAATCCTGGCAGGCGCTATCTGCCCCAATCCTGGCAGGCGCTATCTGTCCCCAATCCTGGCAGGCGCTATCTGCCCCCAATCCTGGCAGGCGCTATCTGCCCCCAGTCCTGGCAGGCGCTATCTGCCCCCAGTGCTGGCAGGCGCTATCTGCCCCCAATCTTGGCAGGCGCTGTCTGCCCCCAGTGCTGGCCGGCGTTATCTGCCCTCGCGGCCATGCTTTCCTGCATGGGGCAGCCGACCACCTGCT